TTTGCATGACAGCTTACAGTGGCAGTATTTGGACTTGTTGCCAAAATACATATAGGTGGGCCACAGCTTGGCATTGCCAAATGAAGTCAATTGTGTAGCATCAGACCAGAACATTAGACCAGCTATGACTTGGGGGAGATTGCAGCCAGGTTCCCTGGGCATGTCTTGCAATGTGCGGTGGGCATCAAGAAAAGCTGGGGACGTGTATAAGTCTCCATATATAGAGACTTCAGGATCGAGGTGGGAGGGATTCCAGTGCAGCTGGTATGGTTCGTAATGAAACAGTTTATTATTGTGGGTGTTGGCTAACTTTTCCTGCACGACAGCAACAAGAGAGCGATGGTACAGATCAGCTGCTGGATAGACATGAGGCCCTGGTGTCTTAGTTGTATGGGAAAAGGGCACCTTGATGGACACTGGTGTTCCTTTCCAACCAGCATCTTCATCTTGCCACTCTTCTCCATCTCCCTCATCATACTCATTTGCACCCAACTGCGAGTTAATTTGCTTCCAGCGGGTGGAGCTTACATCTGGAGCTTTATCATAGGTTCCACCGCCCAAGATCCCAACCAGCTTCATGTAATCCCCTTGCAATTTCTGTACACCTTGATTCCAATACCAATTACCAAGTTGAAAGGAGAAATGGTTGGGATAGGGGTGGTACTGAGATTCGCTGCCCGAAGCAACAGGAGAATGGGGTTGTTCTTTGGTAACAAAAGTGCTATTAGGAATAAAGGAGAGATCCGCCAGTGTGACATATTCTTCCGGGTCGTGGGATGGAGGTGTGGAGGAGAAATATTGGTGCACTAGCCCAAATATGTTTGGGTGTGTGCAAAATATTGGCAACACTGGTCTTTTATTCAAAGTCACGACTTGACCAACAGATGCAGGAGGTCGGTTGTGGACTTCCGAGGGCATGGTGGGTGGAGGCTGAAGAAGTATGTCCCTGAATCGCTTGGGCAGCTGGCGATTCTGTCACCTCGACTGACGCTAAGCCAAGCTCACATCCTGTCCATCAATTTCCCCTACTTCATCCTCAAGGGCGGAGGTCTCTCCTACAGAAGCTAATAGGGGGTTTATTGGAGGCGTGTCAGCAGCTTTGGACTGTTCAGACACTGTTGAACCACTGGTGACCCCTAAGGGCAGGTGATTTGTGGACAAATTTGATGACTGAATAGGCAAATTAATTACTTCCGCAGTATTGAAGAATGTTCGCAGCCTTTCCTGTGGCTGACACATTCTTTCAAGGAAAGTATAGCCAATGACAGGCACTTCTTGGTATAAGAAGAAGAGTGCTGATGCTGGCTGAAGTGGTTTTGGGTGATGAAGGTGCATTTGCACATGCAGGTGTAAGCAGGTACTGACATTGAGTCATACCAGAAGCGAGTCCGTTAATGGAGGTTTTATGCGATGGCGAAATGGCAGCTGAATAATGTGATGGTGGGTGGCAAGAATGGCAGCCCAATAGTGTGATTTGGGTGGCAAGAATAATAGCCGAATAGTGTGATTGCAGGTGGTGAGAATGGCAGGATTTTGAGATGGCGGCGATGCTAAATGATAATCTTATCTATATAAACGCAAGAGATACAGATAAGTCATATTCTATTAGATTCTGCAATGTCCACACCATCTTCTCCATATTCTGAATCCTCAGTACTATCCATGGAATTCAAATTCGTGGCCAACCCCAAGGTCTTAAAGATGCTAGTGATGATCCTTATTGCCCGCCATGGTATACTTCACTAACACGGCCAAACGGGGGAACTAGCAACGTTCCAATGGTAAATCACTTGTTTTCATAATAAGTTCGCCACTCACATCTGTCACAGGCCCACCAATGAATACAGGGATAAAATACACCCTTCACGATTTCAGGCTTATCGAAATGCACATGAATTTCACTACCTGTGTTGCCTCTGTGCAACAGGTGGCCGATATGTCGAGGTATCTATATTTCTGCGCCCTGCAGGAATCTGCTGAGGGGAATATGTTGCTGAATGTGCGACTAGCACCTGCAGATACATGTGTAAGTGGGTTTGTTTGAACATCAAGGACGGTGGAGATATACTTACTTCTGATCAGTGAATGTTGAGAAATTCTTCAGGGGAACTTATGTACCTTCAGTATATTATTGAATCAGAGGTATGTTTGATGACTTATGCTGTCATCATATGCTCATGACTGTTAGAGATCACCAACCGCCCCGTACACTTCTGCCATATGCTTAAAAAGCAAAATAGTTGTGTAGACAGTATAGCCAGTTAGTGACTGACACCTGTTCCTTAGTGTAACAGGTATATATTATGTATTCACACAATAGGCAGGGGAGCTGCTAAGCCTATTCATATTAAGTCAAATAAATTTACCATATGCTGGTGGGACGTAAATAATCTCACCGAGTCTGGCACTCTTCGCATGCTTTGATCAATTGAGCACTAAGTACATGACAGGCATGCATTTAACCTTGTAGTTTGAATTGAATTTCTATGGTCTAAAGCTATAGAGACACTTGCAAACTACATTTGATTTTCCGAAATCATGATGGTGACTTTTCTTTTCTAAGTGCCTACTTAAAACATCCATTACTTGAGAGAAAGATGGAAAGAGATGCGAGTCCAAGCCATGGGGCTTATATAGTGATTGGCTGTAGAATTAAAACTCAGCCTGCAACACATGAAATAGACTTAAGAGCAACGTCATGGTGTCACACATCACAACACAATCACAAATGTACTACTAGGCAGTGAGTTTTACATAGACTGATGTGTAAAGAGTTTGTGCAACCTATATGAGGCTTAGGGCTTGTTAATACACAAGAAATTAGTTGGTAAGAAATAATTGAGAACAAAAAATCAGCCTAACCTGGGCCGGAAGTAGAATACCAAATTCACCAAAACATGACACAATAGCCGTTAGTAGGCAACAATGCTTTACTACTAGTACTAGTACTATGCAAGGTGTATCATAGTAAGACTACCCATTTCTTGATCAATGATGAATATTGTGGGGCAGTTACCAGATCTATCCTCATCGTCCTAGACGTACATTCAATAATCAAGTGGAAACAGAGGTACTAGTAGCCAGTGACATAGTACCTATTCTTCAGGAAGGATAAGACGTGGTGCCTTGATCAAACATAATGAATGAGCGACAAAGCAAGGATATAGAATAGATCGCAGATAGAACAAATTCACATATATTGATTTGCTTCAATCTTTTCTTGACAGGGATGTTGAACCAACATTATACCTTCGTACCATGCAGCGTACTGATCAAATGAGTAGGCAAGAGATACCAGAAGGCTGATGAACCAGCGCCAGATGAAGGATGCCTCACATCAGAACCTAGTGCATGATGAACCAGCCTTTGATGAGTCTCCAGAGCCAAACACAGGTGGTACATACCCATGATCATGAACGGAGTGCTCATGAACTTCTCCGATGCATATGGCCTTGGCAGCGAATTGACACCTCCAAGTTTGGAGTTGATTCCACTAAACAAGTCTGGGGTGTACATCAAGACAGAGATCAAAATTTGACACACTTCATGCCTGGATTCGCACAATATTGGTCGTTCTTCAATCGTTCTCTCGCTAGAACAGGAAGATTACAATGGAGGTCACAGACATCGCAATATAATTCCTGACAGTGTATTGGGAAGTAGACAAGATGTAAGCATCATTCAAACCGATCAGGCAAGAGTACATACACCAGCGATAATGTCACCAAATGATTTGATGGCATGATAGATATCTGGTATCATCCCCAGATCTCTGCCTATCCTTTATTGCTGATGGAATGTTGAAGCAACCTCATGTCCTACTTAAAATGAGTTCATTTCAGTGGTTGAATCAGAGACGATGCACCAGACATGATTGACTTGCAGCAGGTGGGGATACATCTGTCAAACAATGATCAGCAACTAGAAACGAAATTCGATGTCCCATTTACTCATCTCTAAGACAGATTAAAATACCCAGGAGATAAGAAGCCTATGATATTAAGAATTTTGCACATGTTGAGCAAAGTGTTGATGAACCAGTTGATTGTCTGATCACTAACACTTGCGTGATCAAGAATCCACCAGGAAGATAAGCTGTTCGGCTCATGGAAATGGTATTCCATGAAGCATTTCGCAGTTGCTGTAGGTTGAGAATCTGATCCTTTCTGGTGTCCTGAACTTACCACAGGTCTACTAAATGGATTACTGTAGCAGATTCTTGGTGTCAGCAAGACACACCCTGTGACTAAAATATCAGGAGATATAGTAATCCCAACATCATGCAAGAATGGTGAATAAACTAGAGCCTGTACAAATAGTCAATTGAACACATGATGTGTCACTTACCAAGCACTGGCCAGCTATGGTCGAGTCGATGATGCCAGTGCTAATAAGTGCCAAGTGATCCTGTGGGTTCTTGGATGAGAATTTGACCATTGAGAGGAAGTTTGTGCATATAACATTGGTCGGGGGCGATGATACACATCTCTGCTGGGATCATCGTGATCTGATCCAACTTCAGTACTGATAATGTCTGGATAGCTTAGTTGGCATCCCTAAGTGAATTGATTAGATAAGAGCACATACATCACTAAATGATTTGATGGCATGGTAAATGTCAATGGAACTCGAAGGCCATTCTGCAGGTTCAATACTGTATTGCTGTCAGTATATGTCACATTATACAAATTTACATCTTCTTAATTTTGTGCCGATACAATCTATGTATTGTAAGAGCTGTCCTACAGATGACATTCATGCTAATCTACTGTGACACATATCAAAAAGGTTCCACTAGACATACCTGATTGAAACAGAGTTTTATGGTAACCGTAGGCTCAATTGCAATCTTGACTGTGCTGTCCTTAGTGTAACAAGATGCTACAGTTTGGATAAGCCCACAATAATTCCCGTCCAAAATAAGGACATGCTGGTTCTTCTTGTGTGGAGGAGCTGGGCTCAGGTCTCTAGCAGGGATATGATAGTGTTTGATTGCAGCGCCTGCACTGTTGGATGTGCAAAATGCTTTGACACAACCTTCAGGTGAGGGTCCATTTTCACCGCAGAAAGGGTCGGGACAAGCCGTTGATACAAATCGCTTGCTCAGCCTCCCCCCCATAAAGTTTGGTAACACTTTCAACACTATATGAACATTAAGAAAATTTGATGAAAACTCCTTGGTCATCAACCAAGGTAGCGGGCCTGTCATAAAATTAAAATGAGTCTACTTTATAATGCCACAATGAGGGTCTTACCGCTGCCTGGCAATTCCTTCACTCCAGTGTCAATGCTGTCCTGGCTGTCAATAGCCCAGGGGTCGGATGTGGATGAACTGGGATTGATGCTGGATGCAGGATCATGCACAACATCAACATCACTGGGGATTGTGGACCATGTGGTCCATCCGCTGGACGACAAGGGACTGGGATCGGTGATGGATGTGGATGAGCCAGAGGGTATTATTTCGATAGGTGGTGTAATGCTTCAGGTTGGTGGTGCCAGGTAAGATCTTTTCTGCATGTCGCAAAATGAAATTAATTCTGGGCTTTCAAGCATCACACCACTTAACCTCATTCCATACCTTAGCAGTCGTCAATATTGAAATCACTATAAAATGTGCATGCTGCTCACCTGGTGACGACATTGTGGCGTTTGAGGGTAGTGTGCTGCTGCCCATGGACAGCAATGGTGCAAACTTTGGAGGAAAGACTGTAGAGCATAGCCCAGTAGCCCCCCTGTCACCCCCACTTACAAAAACTTCCTGGCCAATATCCTTCTTGAAATAATCCAAGTCAACATTGTGTAGTTTGATGACAAATCTGATTTAAATGTTGATCTACTACAAGTCAGAGATGTTTGAGTCATAAGGTGAGATACTTACAAGTGAATGGTCACCATCACAAATTAGGGTCAAGCGAGCATTTGGAAAGTCCACGCTTTGCACAACCCCTTTTGCCCCATACTCCGGCCCACGGGCAACACTCACCACATCTCCAGGTTTAACATTGTAGCCTCTTTCCTTCATGTACTGGATTGTCTGGGTGAGGTAGGTCCACTGAACCATTGCTATGGAAACTAAGACACTCGACAGTCCAGACTCTGTATCAACTGGTGTGAGGAGATCCCTGAACCACAATTTGCTATCTCCCTTAGACAACCAGTCAACAATGCTGCATTTCCTGGTGTGCTCCCCATTCAGGACTTGAATGAAGGAAGTCTCCAATTTCAATTGAGTCAGAGTCCAGGGGAAGCACAAAATGTTGTTGCATTGGTAGGTTTGAATTGAGTGTGTGACTCAATGGACACCAATCTAAGTAATATTTTGATACTTCCACCTGTACAGTAGGTGTTAGTGCTCCTCCAAGATGATGTTGTGGCTTACTGGCAGGAGGTTTTCTTGCCTGCATAGGCAGCAATCAAGGAGAAGACTCGAGATTGGTCTTGTCACAACATTGAGACTGACAGAGATTACCCTTGACCATCGCTACAGGAAAAGAAGACTGTTGTGTGGTGGCATGACGAGTCCACATTCTATGCCAATGATCGTCGCAAAACACGATGGGTCCATGAAAGTGAAACAGCTGTGCCCTATGCGAAGGGGGAGGGACCATCACAGATGATTGCAGATCTCGTTTCTGCTGATTATGGGTGGTTGCGCTCACCTGATGGAAAAGAGGAGGCTCGCATTTTCTTCAAAGCAGGAAAAAATGGTGAAGGGTACTTCACGAATCAGGACATCCTCGAGCAAGCTGAAAGGTCGATGTATATTCTAGAGAAGTACTACACCAATAAAAACCACATCCTCGTCTTTGATAATGCAACAACTCACTTAAAAGTGCAGACAGAGCTCTCTCTGCAAGAAATATGCCAAAGGGAACCTTGAAAGCACAAACCAATTGGGGTGTGGAGGTTAATGTTCGAGACACGGCTGGCAAACAAGTTTACAGCAGAGATGGCAAACCATTGAAAGAAAAAATTCGAATGGACAATGCAACTTTTGCAGATGGATCGAAACAGTCACTCTATTTTGGTGAAGATGCTGGACCCAAAGCAGGCCTCTTCAAAGGGATGGCTGTAATCTTGTATGAGTGAGGACTTATCCAAGAATCAAAGCTGCGAGCACAGTGCAAGGACTTCAAGTGCGTGAAGGGAGCAACAAATTGCTGTTGTTGTCGGGTGCTGTACAATCAGCCAGACTTCGTTGCCATCGAGTCAAATCTAGAGAGGACCTGCAAAGCAAGAGGATTTTCAGTGTTATTCCTTCCAAAGTTTCACTGCGAGCTGAACTTCATTGAACAATGCTGGGGATATGCAAAACGAGTGTATCGTCAATATCCTACATCATCAAAAGAAGCAGACCTTGAATGAAATGTTCTCTCTGCTCTTGAATCAGTGCCGCTTGATAGTATGTGCTGGTGTGTTAATTGTTAAAACATTCAAATCTTACATTCAAATTTTCACACCAATCAGGTTTTCAACACGAGCCTGCCGATTTATGGATGCATACCATAGAGGATTAAATGGGAAGCAGGCTGCATGGGCCTCGAAGAAGTATAGAGGCCACCGAATGCTACCAGATAGCATTTTGCACGATCTCAACGAAGCTCATGTATAGTGTTATTGTCAATAGTCAAATGTAACATATGTCACAGTCGGTCACTGCTAGAGTCACCCCACGTGATCAAGCGAGGTATGGCTGCGGTCTATCTTATGTAGTCCCCGTTCTGAACCTTCAGTGTCACAGGCCAAGCATTCTAGAAAGAGTTTGGGAGAAGCAGCATCCTCTGGGATCTGACCAAGGTTGGGCACATAGACACCATGCAGCATATGATGCTCGAGGTTGTCAGCATGGTAGTAATCTTCTAGCCACCTCCACCTATATGTCATCATCCGTTCCAAAAGGTATGCAATAGTATTTCCCACGCTCTTTAGCTGTTCCTTGACATGATACAGCTCATATTTTAGCCCACTTTCGGACTCCTTGTGGGGGCCTAGGTGGTTTTTTTTAGATTGTACGGTTTCCAGTCTTCTCTGGATCATCAAATCTCACCTATCGTTTGAGTTTCTGAATGGACCAATTGATTTATTTGAAGGAATTGTCTGCAAGGGAAATCTCATTCTGGGTCGTTCTTTGTAACACTTGATTACTCACTTGCAATCACTACCGCGTAGTTCATCTACATCAGAGCTTCTGTGCACCGAGGAAAGTTGGAAGCTCAAGGTAACTCATGAATTTGATATTGCATGCCAGCATTGCTCAAGAGCTTACTTTAGTGTAACACTGCTTCCAATGTGGACACATTGTCGCAAGCACTTTCGAGAGGGTGAGTCTGCCATCTGAGGTACAAATGGTGCAATAGTTGCTGAGACAGTGCTGTATTTGCATGCCATGTGACTATACCGTGAGGTGAGGTAATATGCCATCCAATATTAATGACTCTAAGATGGCGATTTTTTTTTCGGTTACAATATCTGTGCCACTCAGATGGTGGGGCTCATTTCCCTTTACAACAGCTATGGTACAGAATAGCAAGGTTTTCTTTGCATGCCATTGGGTATATAAAGTGTCTCTTTTATCACTGGTTCTATCAGAGCCGCCTCATCCTACTTATTATTATGGATGGCGACAAAAATAATCCTGGTTCTTCACGCAAGCGCGGTGGTTCAGCGCTTTGTCTGGCCCCACGCAAAAAAGTGCGGGTGTTCTTTGTATGGTGAACTGCTGTCATCCTTATTGTCCCCATCATCAGGTCTTCCTCAAATCCTCTGGTACTTCATGGTCAGCATTTTGGTTGCACTGTTTTTGCCTTTTGTAACTATCCTCCTCTTCTGACTGCGGGTATACTGTGACTTGAAGAATTGCAAGATTCTCCCATAGAGGACTTTCCAGCTGAGTGAGTTCAATTGTGATGATTACATGCTGCCATGACTTACGACTAGATTCAATGGCAGCATTCGACGGGAACACAGGGTGTTCATCGAGCTAATAGACTCCTATTCTAGTCTTTTAGATCGTCTGACAAATGGCGAAGAGGAAGACGTTATTCATGTGGGAGAATTAGTACGCTTTCCAAAAATCTAAATACCATCATACTCAATGTTTGCAGCTTGGTAAAGAAGCCTCTGGTGCACGAGGTGACGATACCAAGACCCTCAAATCTGCCATCCTTGAATGGCTTGTGCCCAGAGGACAGGCAGTCATACCGCCCCTCTTCCAGAATATCAAGTCTGATCATGGGTTCAATCATGAAGTCACTGGTGCTTTGCTCTGTCCCGCAGGCCTTGACTGGTCAAATGCAGAGTAAGTCATTCTATCATCCAATCAACTAGTTTTCATAACATTACCCAGAACCAAGCAGAGTCTCAAGAGCGGTGAGACCGCAGTTCATGGGGATCAATGGCCCATGTTCTTATATGCTGGGTATCATTACGACCCCGAAGATCCATGGAAGGGTTTGCTGAAGAGTGAAATACTCATCTATGTAAGCTCACTTGTCGGCGATCAAGTTCTCACTCAATACAATATCCCTTGGTAGGGTGTTAAACATGTGTTTACTTCTCCAAGTTCAGTAGATAAGGAGCCGAAGGCTACGCGCTCCGGCAATGCTTACCTTCATGGCATGAAGTCGGTAACAAAAGGATCTGTAGCCTATATTGTCACACAGGCATGCAGAAATTTCCTTTCCGTGTATGCCTCCACCTGATTGATCCTTCAGGTTCAGTTTTCATTGTGTTCGTCATCCGTATTTTCATGGACCGACATGGTCACAGACTCCAAAAATTTCTATATTAGTATTCTTGACCTGCTGGAGGATCCTGATGAAAGTCAAGAAGTAGCTGATCTGATGACATGGTGGACACAGTGCATAATGCATCTCTTCAAACTCAAGAAGCTCTTTAAGTTGACACTTTACAAAGTTGAATTTTTCCCAATTCATGTTCTTTGCAACGAGATATCAGTGCAAACAGTGCACTGTCGAAAATTCGTGCGAAATGTGCTGCCTTGTGAGCATGAGCCAGCGCTGGCACTCCATAATATTCATTTTTCCTTAACCATTGATCGTGTTTCATAACCATTTATTGTTGATGATAGAAACCTAATGTAGTTGATGAATGCTCCATCTATGCTATGAAATGTTACTTGCTTTGGTATCTGTGATAAGTCCTGCCATTATCAACTGCTTGGACGTGATCAGTCACAAAATTGCCATCTTGATGGAGCGTGATGATTCAATACCATACCCTGCCACACTGTCAGTGATTATAGAACCTACCATTGGAAGCTGCATAGATGTGTTTGGCCAAAGTTCATCATCTTCACAATGCCTGACAATTCAATAGTGTACCCTACAATCATGTCAGCTATTATATGTTCTGCCATCGGAAGCTAGGTATATAAAGTCAGATACATTCAGTTGAACATCAGCATTTTGTTGGGGCATGATCACACCTTGTCTTACTGCTGGTGATTACTACTGAAAGCTGCACAGATATGTTTGGTCAAAGTTCATCATCTTGACAATGCTCAACAATTCAATAGTGTACCCTACAATCATGTCAACTATTATATGTTCTGCCATCAGAAGCTAGGTATATAAAGTCAGATATATTCAGTTGAACATCAGCATTTTGTTGGGGCATGATCATACCTTCAACATACTGCTGGTGATTATATATCTCATCATTGAAAACTGTTTATCTAAAACCCAACATGTTTTGTAGAAAATGAGCATCTTGTTATAGTTGCTGTGGCAATATCAAACCCTGACATACTGTTAGTGGTTTCCAGATTCCATCATCAAAAGCTACCTATCTAAGGTTGGATATATTTTCCAGAAAATAAGCAACTTGCTAGTTGTTGCTGTGGTGATATCATATCTTGGCATGAAGTTAGTGATTATGAATTCTGCCATTGGAAGCTGGCTATGTAAGAGTAGATACATTTGACAACAGTATACCAGTATGCTAGTAGATCACAATGTACCACCACAGAACTGTCAACATTGTAGCATTGGGAGATCTCACCTGTGTAGTCTACCTATCTATGGCTTTATCATGTGATCTGCAATTGTGATATATATTTTCAACATTGTACATAAAATAAAGCTAGCTAAATCTTTGTCATACTTGGGTCGAATGCCTGATGTGACAACCTTGAGCTCTAGGTGGTTTTGGTCCAATGCAGTCCGGCCATATAAATTTTTATGTGACACCAGCATTTATTCAGATATTGCAAAAACAATCAAAGGTTATATATCACAACCAGGGATGATAGTGCATTGCCAATTTGCCACTGGTCCTCAACTATGCAGCAATGGTCGCTCTCAACAACCTAACCTTCCTTTGCAATGGTAGGTAGATGTTGTAATATATACCATCTCGGTGATAACTGGCAGGCAGTTGCAGTTAGATGTCACAACTTTGCATTTGGCCGATCCATCGAACTAAGTCTGGGTATTCAAAGCTTTCTCATTTTGGGTACAATTTTGATACATATTGTGGATATTTTAGATCAGATAAAGCTTTCTAAAGAATTATCATTTTCAGGTCATTTGCCTGATGTCATGGCCAACCATTTGTTACTGTCGTATTGCAAATGAGCTACCAGGATAGAGGCTAGTGCCAATATACCATTGAGCTATGGGATACATGTGTAGAGTACCATACTCAGAGTCCTGGTATATGTTACGGACTAGGATAGTTCGAGCTCTCCCTAGGCGGATTGCCTAATCTGATAGCGGGCTCGCTATTGGAGAGACGGGGATCTTCTCTCGAATGAGAGGTTCGGGGGTTCCACTTAAGGTAGCGTCGGCTTTCCTTAAGGTGCGGCTTAGACTGAAGGACTGGGACTGTCTTTCAGAGGAAGTTCTGGATAAAACCTAGTAGAATCAAGTAGGGAATATACATGATTCTAGTCTGCTCTATATACTGTCGTCCGTGTGCACAGACCAATACTACGTTCGGTAGGTAGATGTAAGTGTGTCTATACAAGGGCATCTTATCTGATGCCATGCGGTCGATTATCTATACATGAGGCTTACCATGCCTCTCTTATCTGTCCTCAAGGCGTAGCATGCCTTTGAGTCTAACTGCGCATGCTGTGGCATGCGGCTTGTCTTCTGACCATGAGGCAGAGCTTCCTCATGATCCGGGTCGAGGACCATCTAGGTCCGATCATATGTTGCCTAGGCTGGTCTAGGTCATCTAACGGCATCCAGGCCGTTCTAGGTGTCTCTACGAGTCTCCGTTGAGTCGGTAAGTCTTCCAAGACGGTGCATATGGTGGGATAGGGGCTAAGGTCATGATGACCTCCGTAGGAGGGGTTCTCGGTTACATGTTATTGTAACAGTATATACATATAATCATTATGTAGATCAGCCACAAATGCTATGTATTTAAAGCTATATGATGAGCATGCATGTGGGGTAGACACAAATTTGTTCCGCAGAATCAAAGATTCTGTTATATATATTACCAATATTAGCTAGCATTGGCTAGTAGCTAATCACCTTCTGCATATTTCAGTTGCTGTTGCTTAACGTCTGACTCCCTGTTGTGCATTTATAAGGTAGTGTATTGGGCAACAAGGATGTTAATCTCTTCACTTACAAGCCATACTTGGTAGTCCAACAAATATGTATGATCATTATTTAAATTGGTCAAGGAGGCTAGGTGTTTAAAGGTATATATGACATTATCTAACCACTTGCCATATTTTACCAGATTGCGGGTATCATGACCATTATAAGGCAGATACAATGGTTTATAGCACATCTTGATTTTCAGTGATGTGTGTTTGGGCTTCCAAGTTCTACTGCGTCTTTTGCTCTGCTTCAGCTTCAATTTCAATGTGTGCCCATCAAGAGTTAAGCTCTTGGCATACCACCTCCACTGCTCAGCTTCTCTACCAGTTTCTGACAACCGGCGTATAAGTACCTCAACACTGAAGATGTTTTCCATAATCTGAACTAGACTCGTGACCAGTCCGTCTATGAGGCAAGCCATCGATAGACGGACTGGTAAATCTGGGTTTGAATTTGGATAGTGCGCGCTTTGGAGTCGTCACATGACGGAAAACCCCGTTTAGGACTTAGACACTGCTTA